TTTGAAGGTAATTCACTACTGATCGAATTTTCAAATTCTACTTCATCAATATAATTTGGAAAATAAGTGAAAAACTTAACTGACACAATTTATGACTTTTCAATATCTCAATACATTATTTAGCGTGTTCATTTAGTTTAGATAAGTTCTTTAATATTCTCTTTGTTAGAACAAGGCAGTCGTGCTCTACCTTACTCAAGTTCTTCAACCCGGTCCTGGCCACCTATTCTTAAGTGACATGCTTTGCGCCGAGGGAACCGTGCTCAACCTCTTTATTTGATTTTTGCCCTGAACTAATGGTGCAGAGGGAGCCAAGCTCAACCTCCGACCACACTCACTGAGTCGCTCGTGACGCCGCCGAGGGAGTCGAGCTCAACCTCAACGCTCAACAACTACACTTCTAAACACTAGTAACGCCAAGGGAGCCGAGCTCAACCCCGTGGCTCAACGAACGGATAATATATATGATATGTTGGAAAGCTGCGTAATGAGAGGAGCACATTTCGAAGGTAGTAGTCAGTCTGTTACGTCCGTGCCTTCTTACGCAATTCGCTTGCTTCCTTCTTGGTGCAACTCTTTATATGTAAGAGTGCATGATAAAATTAACACGTTCTGTGGGTGACGGTGGAGTTCAGTTACAATATTGAATCCTTTCCCACGATTGCCAAATGTCAATTATACCGGGAGCTGACAGGTTTCTAAGGTTGTGTTCCAACACGTAGACTGGATTGTACCAAGTTGTGCCTGGTTCGTGGGGCCACCTATTTACTGAGACTTTCGACATAACAGGAATCGATTTAGTACTTTAAAAAATAAATGAGCCCATAGAAAAGCATTGCGATTTTGAGGTACCTGTTCTGCCAATGTTTTATTGTAGATATAATAATTGATTGTGGGCAGATGTGTACCAAGATATTTATGTATTTGTTTCAAATATTTGTAAAACATTTAGGAATCATTTACATTTTCATCAATCCCAACACCTGCTGATCGTAATCGTAGGAGTTGTGGAGACAAGACTGATTCATTGATCAGTATTTATTTTATTCTATAGTAAACGTATCAGTGAATGGCCACTTAGAGTTGTGACAGTATTAGCTCTTTTAAAATGTAAAATTTTGAAAATGTGCTGCTAACTTTCCACTGTCCGATGGTCCTTTTAGAGTAAATTTGAAAAAGTGAGGTTCTGGCGAGTTCCGCCGTTCTTGCTCTGGTAGTTCCTTCGCTGCCCCCTATGGCGGGGAAGATAGGGGCGGTGTGCCCTGCTGCCTGCGTTTCTCCCCTTCCAGTCTTGACTACTGCCACTTCTAAGTGGAGATTCTTCTGTTTCCATTTCCCTGGTGTTGTCGAGCTCCTCGACCACAGTGTCGTCTCAATTGTACTTGGTGTCTTCTTAATAAACCGTTTTCCGTTCGTACTCCGTATTACCTAAACATGAATTAATGAAATTGTTTCTCCTTTAATTGTGTTCATGAAGCATCATGGACGAAGCATTTCTGATAACATGCACTTTGGAGGCGTTTTGTTTTGTCTTCTCCAAATTAAGGAATCTTTAATTTGATTTTTATTTCTACTGAAATATAAACTTGATTTTGTTTAAAAAAATTTGTAATACTAAGCCCTTTCCAATTTTCTATCTGTTGGATTACTACTATTGTCCGAGAAGTTTGGTCATGGAAACAGTTGAGACAGACTCGATGTGCTCGATAGCCTTCCTTGTTATTAAACGACTTAAAACTTTCATCTAAAGTATGAAAGCTCTTATTATGCATTGATGTGCGTCTGCCAGATTGTGCCCATTTCAGGAGGCAGGACACGATATCTGGCCGGAGACGTAGGTGATGTCTCTTCTGTTAATATTCACTTCATATAAACTACAGATAATCTCTACAGTAAATCGAGAGATTTGTTGTAGATCCATTTCTATTTGGTGGAAACATAGCGATGCGCTAAATACAATGTGTTAAAATATTGACAACGTCCTTACTTGTCAAGAATTTCTCATGTTTAAGGACGTGGATATCAGTAGTTTTGTTTTATTTAATTGTTTAAAATCAATTATTAATCTCCCATTTTTTTATGACCTGAAGCATCACGTTTTTTCGGTACAATTCAAACTGGAGTGCAGTGGGCGATTCGCTTCGTGTTATAATTCCTTGTTCTAATAGTTTTTGTATCTGTTTATTAATTATGTATTTTAGATGAGGAAGGCGGTAGATTTTGTGATAAACAGGGTCTTCGTCGATAGTCTGAATGTAGTGCTAATTGCATTGGTGAATGTTAATCTGAATAATAAAATATCACAATTTTCAGTAATTCTTTCATAAAGCAGATATTATTGGTCAAAGAGTTCGGGGAAAATTATAATTTAGGGAATAAAGGCTATGTTGAGGGTGTGAAAAAAATGTAAAAATAGTTGGGAGAGCAATTAGTAGAAGCCGCAACGAAACATTGCCTCTTCCATCAGTAGTTTTTATCAGACAAGAGTGTTCTGGAAAAGAGACGACACACAATTGACAAGGATTGTTACTTGGGAAAGAATTAACGAGTATTGAAGAGATCTATTTTTCAATTAATGTGCAAATTGTTGGTGGCCCTAACGAGGAGATATTAGATATTGTAGTGACCAGAATATTTGAAAACAGTGCTGTGCGTGTATGTCTCAGTGAAGGACAAGTAGCTGGGCATCTGCTTGGGGACAGCGGCTATGCCACAAAGAAATATATTTAAACACCTGTTCAAAAACCAAGGAATCACCATGAACAAAATTATAACAGGTCACTGAAAACAACGAGAAATAGTGTGGAAAGGTTGATTGGGAGATGGAAAAGAAGGTACCCTTGTTTGTATTTTGAAATGCAGAACAAGGTTAAAAACATTACAAGAATTATAACTGCTTGTGCAGTTCTTTACAATATTGGTATTGAAATACGTGATTTGTGGAATCTGGATGAAGGTGATGTTGAAAGGAACATAATTGAGGTGGAAGTTAGTCTTTGCACTTTCTAATTTTTCTTGCAGGAGCTCAATTTTTAAATTCTGTTGTTTGAATTTGTTTTTAGCACATTTCATTTCCCACTCCACAACCCCACAACGACCTTTCGCTTCCATCTTCCTGAGTTCACCTATCTCTCTTTCTAACTCATTTAAATACGTGGCTTTGTCTATTCTTAACTTTGCTTCGGTTAAGAAAGACTGGGTTTTTGAGTGCCTGGGAGTGGTGGGTGCTCCCTTTTCTCCCTAAACTGAGGCTGGCTTAGAATAGAGTGTATTGCACCTAAGAACGTGCCGCATGGCCCCGCCTCCGGGGAATTCGGAGCAATAAAACTCACTGACGAAACCTCAGTATTTAATGGGGGTTCCTCGTTTCCTTGGAGGACCTCTTCGACCAACACAAAATCCGACT